ACTTCTAAAATAGTTTCCTATCTCTCCATTCAAATTTACAGCAACTCTTCCACCACAGACAACCTTCATTATCCATTGGATCCACCTCTAACAAAAACCCTTCTTGACCATCACCTCTTCCAAAAACTACCAACTTACCTTGTCATATGCCTTCTCAAAGTCAAGCTTTAGTATGATACCACTAAGGTTTTTCTTTGCTAACTCATGAAGCACCTCATGTATGACCACCACCCCATCCAAGACATATCTCCCAGGAACAAAAGCAGTTTGGTTGGGACTTATAATTTTATTAGCAATTTTGTTTAGTCTTAGGGTCAGAGTTTTGGTAATTATTTTGTAAACAACATTTAACAGACAAATAGGGCGGTACTGCTTAATATTGGTGGCTCCTTTGACTTTTGGGATCAAGGTAAGAACGCCATAATTGAGTCTAAACAAGTCTAGGTGCCCCTCCCTAAGATCATAAAGCATGTCTAAAATATGCCATTTAAGTTCAGGCCAAAAGGTTTTGAAAAAAGAGTTTCTAATTCTGCTAGGTTTAGTAAGCTCCTCATTGTCTTCTGGGCTAACTTTGGAGTTGTCTCTCCACAGACCTGAATGTAACCTGAAAGCTGAAGCTGGCTCACTTCCAAATAATCTCTTGTAAAAATCAGTGATGTGTGCTTGAAGGGCTTCTGGTTCTGAGATCATCACTCCACCTCCATCAAAAGATTTCATTAGACATTTCCTCTTCCTACAATTAGCAATCCCATGGAAATAGGTTGTGTTAGCATCACATTCCCGCAGCCATCTTTCACCACTGATCACTTGCCACATGGCTTCCTCCTTGCCATAGATGTCAACTAGTTCATCTTCCCAAGCATATCTCTATCTCCATTCAGCATCAGACAGGCCCACCTCTCTCTCTCTGATCCAGGCTTTTAATGAGGAGCAACAAATCCTGCTTTCTCTTCTTCATATCACTCCCCCAATTACTATTCCAACCTCTCAAACAGCTCCTAATTTTGCCTGATACTTTCTTCCCATAATCTATGCTCCTGTTTCCCTGTTGCTCTGGCCATTTAGCTCTAACCCAATCAACAAATCCCTCCTGCTTAAGCCAAACTGCCTCAAATCTAAAAAAAATTAGACCTAACACCTCCATCAGAGCTTAATTTTACCACTAAAGAGTTATGGTTAGAGCCCACTCTAGTAATTGAATGAGCTGTAACCAGTGGAAAATGATCCTCCCATGTGGAGTTCATGAAGATTCTATTTAGAACCACCATAACTGGATTGATTTGCTTATTAGTCCAGATGTATTGTCCCCCACCTCTATGAATTTCTCTAAGCCCTGTATTGGACACAAAATTGTTGAAGGAATCCAATAGACTAAGGTTTACATTGCCTGTAGATTTCTCAATTCTTCTTACTAGGTTAAAATCACCCCCAATCACGCCTCTAATAAGCACCTCTAATTCATCCTGAAAGTCTTGTTTCTGATTATCTTTCACTGGACCATACACATTGATTAACCTCCACACAAAATTATCATCTTTCTAAGTCAGAGTCGTTGATTGAAAATGATCACTACTTTCTACGTGAGTCACCTCTACTAAATCTTCATCTACCCCCATAAGAAGGCCACCAGAGTGACCCCTAGAGGGAAACCACTCCCATTTAAAAGCTATACCACCTCCTAGAGCATTTAATTCTTAGTGAAATTCTATTTAATGGTCTCACTTAAACACACAAAGCTAATATGATGATCTTGCAACAATTTCTTGAGTTGAGCTTTTCTGCCTTTACTACCCAAACCTCTGATATTCTAGAATACGATATTCATTTGGGTTTATTAGTAGGATTACCCAATTGGCTCAACCTCATCACCTCTATAATATCAGATTCACAATCCTAATCATCCACCTCTTTAAGTTCTTGAACAATTCTTAGATGTTCTTCATTATGAGCTTCTAAACTTTTATCCACCTCTACCACCTCTTCTACAGATTGAGATTGCTCCTTCTTCTTCTCAGCTTCAGCTAATTTAGCCTGAGCAAGCTCTTTTGCCTTAATAAGGTCTATGGAGGCATCAACCTCCTCATCAGTCTCTCCCGACATAATCCCACACTCAGAAGCTAGTTTACTAAGGTCAAAATTATTAAGATTTTGCAGACTAGAAAAAGGGTTAGAATTCATACCTTGACTGTCAGTAACTCCATCTATCTGTTACTCTTCTGCTTCTTGGAACTGACCACCTTAGTGAATTGATCATCCTGTGTGTCTTTGTCAGGCATCAAGCCACCTCCAAGATCAGATCCATCCTGGTTGTTCACCTCCATCATCATTGATTCTTGTGGACCAAGATCAATAGTGTTATCTCTTGGTTGATCAATCTCAGGGACTATCTTCACCTTATCAGAAAGAGAGACATTGGGGATCACCTTATCCAGAGCTACCACCTCTATAGCTGCCTATTGCTTGCCAGCTCTTTTCTCTCCTTGTTTGCATGATTCAGGTTTATCGTTAGGAGGGTTACCATCTGGCTTGGGAACATCAAAAGGACTGTAGTTATCAGATTCCTCATCCTCATCTTCCTCCCATGATTCCTCATCATCCTTCTTCTTTCTAGGCTTGTCTACAGGAAATGTCTTCCTCTCATTCTTCTCATTCTCAAGATTCCAACTAATAAAGAATCCTCTTCCATTAAAATAGACTTTAGAAGATCCCTGAATTGATGAGGGGTCTTTGCATGAGACTTTCACTCTGATTGGACCAAGCCCTGGTAGAGATTTGGTATCCACCTCTATAAAATCACCAACCAGATAAGAAACTTCTTCCACTGCTTTCTCCTTCCTAGCCCAGTGAGGAAAACCATAGACTAACAACCATACTTGGGAAATGATATCTAAGTATCCAACCATCAGATCAGATTTGTCCACAGTGTGAACTCTTTGAATCTGGTGAGAAAGTCCAACTCTTTGGTAGAGGGTACAACAAACATGTACTCATTTGAACCAACCTTCTTCACTTGCCAGTCCCAGGATGAACTGACCAAGTATTGCAGCTCTGTGGTGACCTTGGCCATTGATCCCTTCCCCTCTAGAATAGTCATCATAGCTGTAATTGGGCTATTAACCATTTCTTCTTCATTGATGGGGACATGGAGACTGTAGAAAAGCTGGCCAGGCATCCCATTCTTTATAAGGGCAGTTTGGAGCCATGTGTCCCTTATCCTTACAGTTATAGCACAGAGGAGGATCGGGGCATTGGGACCTATGGTGACCCTGATCTCCACACCTAAAGCATTTCTCAGCTAGATCTGGCTCCTCTGCCTACACCTCTATAGTCTTGCTCTCATGTTAGTTTGTGCCTCAAATCCTCTTCATTGTTCCAGTAGACTTCATCTTCCTTGGCTCTTCTCTTGAAACCTCTACCATCAATTCTGCCCCCATTGTATCCACGGCCACCCCCCATTCTACCATCATTTCTGTGATAGTTATTGTTCCTATTCCAATCATCATCTCTACGAACCACCTCTCTACCCCTCCAGTCACCTCGAGCACCATACCTCCTCTGGTATCCAGATCCAAGACCATCACCACGCCCGTCACCACCTCTACGATCCATCCCAACAACCTCAGAAAAAGAATGGGAGTCAATGAGTTTTACCTTAGCAGGAGCAATCTTTCAAGCGAAAGCACCGAATCTCCAAACTTTTTCAATTGAAGCAGAATACCCTTCGACGGCCGCCTCCAGAACCCTAGTTTTGGGGATCCAAAGCCATCAACTGTGGGGTTTCGGGGGTAGGGGTGGGGAATAAGAGTGGATGTACAGGTCCTCGATAGAAATAGCATCTTTATGGGCCTTCGCACCTTTCGGCCCAATTAGCCCAGTACCCAAATCCGCGTCATCCCCAACCTCCCGCCAAGGATCAGAGCTCGGAATCCTGGCCTTTCACCTCTACCGCAAAGGAATCGGGCGCCCTGAAAAGCAAGCGCTTAATCCCATCTTCCTTGCTCTGCTTCTCACAGATCCGTCCCCATTCCATCCTGGGTGGGCGGGAGGGACCAGGAGCACTGCCTTGACCACCTCTACTAGAAGCATCTCCGGTCCTCCAACTCTGGAACTCTCGGGAATCATCATGTCCATGAAATGCAAGAATAAAATGTCTACGATCCATCTCAGACAAGTCTCAGAATCGAACAAACTCCGAACACATCTGCCCGTGACACCAAAACCTCAGGGGAACGAAGCGGGGAGGAGATAGGAGAAAATGCCTCCGTTGGCGCCACCACCGTCACCGTCCATAGAGAACCTCCTACTTTGGAACGGGAGGGGGCCGCTGGAGCGCCGCCTCCCCTCGCCGAAAGGGAAACGCGCTCCCCGGACGCCTTGTCGCCTAACCGTCTGGTTGCCTAACCATCTCTCGAGCCACCTTTACCTCCATTCATTCATTTAGCTCTAGATTAAGAGTTAATTTTTATTTATTTTTTTGTTTAAAATATGGGGAAAAATGTTTAGAGCTAGATTAAAAGTTTACGGTTGGAGCAGCCAAACTCATGTCTATCTACTAGAATCCCTTTGCTGTCAGAGGTGCCCTCCAGCGGCCTGGCGTGGCGCCCAATGGGCCACGCCGCGTTGCTAGCCGCCAGTCCCGCCACCGTGTTGTCTCGTATCGCCGATTTTCTTTCCTTCACGGCTCCGTCTTGAGAAATCCAAATGAATTATCACAAGGGATGCAGCCTGGCTGGATAAGTCTCGGAATATTTGAGGAACACCGTGATTGGCGACGTGGTGCTCATCCCATTGCTCGACACGACCCACACTAAGACGAATCTAGCTCGCGACGCTGATTGGGTGTCGGGCCCCGGCTGTGGTGGGGAAGCATTGAGAGGCACCTATAAAGGAAGCGGGTAGGTTGCACAGACGCGGGTAGGAGCAGCTCCTGAGCAGCTAGCCAGCGGGCCACTGAGTTTAGCTTACTCCATATACACTGCTCCTAAGATTGCTACTAGAGCATGGTGGGAAGTTCGTGGTCGTCGTCTTCATCCTGCACATCGTCGTTCGGGTCCCTCGACGACGATGTCGTCTGCGTCATCAAGCCGGACTCTGTGGGTGCCCCAGCCGTCGCCGAGGGAAGCGTCAAGTTCCTGTGCAGCTACGGCGGTAGGATCCTGCCCCGCCACACCGATGGCACGCTGCGCTACGTCGGCGGCGACAATCGAGTCCTCTCCGTCGACCGTCCCCTCCGGTTTTACGGTGCATATTTCTGCCGACCAATCTACACAAGTCCATCCACTGAACAATCCTTTAATTTCTGACTATCTGGGTTACGTGGTCGTGTCTGTCGGCAGAGTTGCAGCGGAAGCTGAGGGAATTGTGCGGCTGGGAAGCGCACCTGCGGTGCAAGCTACCGATGGAAGACCTGGACGCGCTCATCTCCGTGACGTGCGACGACGACCTCGCCAACCTGCTCGAGGAGTACGACGAGGCCAGCAAGGACCGCCTCCAGTCGCTCAAGATCCGGGCGTTCCTGTTCCCAAGGACGCCGGCGCCTGCGTCGTCCATACCGCGTAGCAGCCCGCCGTCCTCCCCGCCGTCGGATTCCAGACCGTCACCGAGTGCTCACCTCCACAGGCAAAACACTTCCCCGGTGGCCGCAGCCCGCGTCTCGCTGACGTGCGCGCCGCGGTGGTGGGCTGCGCCCCAGGCCTCTCGCCAGGCGCAAGCGCACCAGTCGCAGAACTACGACCGGCACGGCCTTGGCGAGGAGCGGCCGCACCCGCACCCGCACCGGTACCTTGTCCAAAATGGCAGGCACTGGCAATAATAACGTGACATGAGCAACTCCTCTCGACCACGGGAAGAACAGATCGGAGCGTATACAGTGCGCCTGCGTCATGCGTGTACACCGTGCACGCAACGTCTGACATGTACTACCATCCTGATCCTGTACGTCCATGTGTTATCGTCCAGTACCGTACTACTAATAGATCGCTTTGTTTTTTTTTTTTTTGCAACATGAAAATGTTATGGAGGATAGTATGGGGAACCTACACAAAAGGCAATGGCGATAAGGTTCCTAGACTGGAGCACAGCGTCGGATGTAATCTACTCGGTTCTTCCGTACGTCCGGATGACGGAAGCCGTTGCGTGCTTGTCTTTTTCGACGATTCAACTTGGCTGTGGATCATTCCGATCTGCCACGAGGGTCGTGTGGTTGGGTCTCGCACGGCGGTGGTCTACGTGCGTCTTGCTTTGGTGCAGGCAAATCCAGATTCCGTGTCCCTGGTTGAGGCGCGAGGACTTCCTATTTTTCTTTTGTTGCAGAACACGGAGTGTGGTTCCGGTCTTAGTTCGCCACGTCGCACCTGTGGCATCGCTGGAGCTGTGGCCGCAAATTCATAAGGCCTTGACCTGGTTTTGAGAGTGCAACTATTCCAGCTGATACATGTTAATACAAATAAGCTTATCGTTTGGAATAGTTCCAGGGCAACCAATCCAGAATGAACGAACGAGCCCTAAAAGGAAAAAAGAAGTTGTGGTGACAAAATCGATCGCCTTGCGTTATGATTTTCTATGCTTCAACCAGTTAAAAAAGCAATGATAAGAGTATCTCCAAGAGTTCTCAAAACAAACTCTCAATCTAAAATTTTTGGTAAGATTGAAAAATACACATCTCCACCACTCCTGACCACGACTCCTGATCTTTTGGCACTCCAGAAATTAGACCCCCTCCTCGCGAAAAAATACACGCACTTCCACGACCACGAATCCTCCTCACACTAGGTTTCCTATGTCTTTCTTCTCCGTCGCGCACGCCTCTTCATGAACCCACCAGTGGTCGGTTCCTCCACAGGAGCCTGCTACTCGACCTCCTTAACCACGGCTACCACCTCGTCACCTCCACCATCAGTGGCTTTCTCTGTGGCCTTTCCTGGTTGCGCCTGACGCCAGAGTGTCGCCGCTGCATGCCGCGGTCACGCTATGCCCGCTCTGCTACCAGCACTCCATTCCTGGGACGAGCTACGGCTTGTCCATGGCCTATAGATTTGTAGAGCCGCCCACCAGACCATCCATGGTCTCCATAGAACCCCATTCGTGTGAGGGCATGGACAACGGAGATAAATATCCCACATAGATCCCCAGTTTCCTATGAGAGCCCACTGAGATCCACTAAGGTATGTGCACAACGCACCCAAACTTACGTAAATAGGAAATACTTGGAGGATTTCCATGTACTAACTACAATGGAGAGGTATTGGTCATAGTTGGATCAAATCAGCAACATGCAGAACTCCATGACACCAACACGATATAGACAATTTGCAATTCATCAATAGTGGTCTTGCAATAAGCTTGATTCTCTTAGTCAACTATTCAGGCCAAACCGTTCTAAGTATTGTCGTATGAACATAATGTTGAACCTGAATTCCCAATGTCATGAAATAATCATCGAAAGCATGGGATACGAATTCAGCAAATCAAGAATGCTTAATGTATGCATAGTACAATTCAGATCAGAGTGGAGGAATTTTTCACAAATTTGCTTGCATATCCAAAAAGTTTAGTAAGGGAAATAAATTATTTTTTATTATCCTCATGTATTTCCACATGAAAAAGCCAATCTTATAGATGTTTCTATAACTTAACAGTATATGGGTCGAATCAGGATACAGCAAGGCATCCTCTACTGTAAATTGTGTACCCATAGGGAGAATGATGATAGTGGCTCGACCTGAACCAACTATCAATGCATGCTGACCAGCAATGGTAAAAAAAAAGTCTTCTCTGAAATATTTCAACTTTCTAAGTATATGGTTTGTGGTACAACTAATCTCACAAGACATAATTCTTTCTCCTTTGAATTGACATCAAGAGAAATCTTGCCATGGAGGCTGAATCCTTCGTCCTCCCTAGAACAACAACAACGCTGACGAACAGATCTCCGGCGACCCCTCCGGCGAACAGCAACTTCTTCTGGCTTCTCAACTTGCAATGGAGAGTGTGTGCGTCAGAACATGTTAGAATGTGTCAGAGTGAAAGCGAGAGACAATAAATGATGGTTGTATTCGAATGATGAACAGTAAATGTGCATATATAGAATGCCATCAAAATGGCTGTTTACATGTCAAAGAGAGGGAGCGTAAGGAGGCTTTGGCCTCTAAAGAAACCATCATTAGTGATAACAAATGAAGGGAATATTCCCTAATTGATCGTAACATCAACTATTTGTTCTTTATATGTGTGTGCTAGTTAGGCATGTATAGCCCACAGACAAGAGGTTGTCTGTAAATGTCTCGAATATAACATACTGACAGCTAAAAAACAGATCGTACAACCCACAGACGTAGTCATCTGCAAACTATTTAATGCTTTGCATGTGGCTAAGATCAATGATGAATACCATTTTTTATACCATTGTGTTGCTATTTGATCGCTAATTGATCAAGTTTAAATAAGTAAACATGATTACAATAATTTTAAAAAAATCATCAATAAAGGATGTGTCAAAAGTTTAGAAACACATTTATAAATGATGTGCACATTAATGCTAACAAAAATTGAAAAATAAGTGTCACTGTAAACTACAACAGCCGATCCACACCACCCAAATGCTTACTGAATATGATGGTCCTTTGTTCGACAGTAACTTTTTCTACGTTTCTTCTTGAGTATGATCGCTTTTGCATCTAAGGCCTGACAAGATTATCAAGAGAAATCGACCTCAAATCAGTATATCAATATGTTTTACAACAAACAATTGACCTGAATCCACAAAAAGAAGCAAAGAATCTACAAGCAGAAGCAAAATTCGAATCAGTACAGTTGACAGCTTTGAACTGCTCTCCTCACAACCAATCTTGGCTCACCATCATTACCTCTGTATGTCAAAAGAATGAACACAAATGAGAAGTAGCTAATGTCCTTGTTTCGTTTACAGAGCTAATGCCTTTTCTTGTAAGATCCAAATCAACTAATTTGACCTAAATAAATACCCCTTCGGCCCCCGCGTCACTCTCTGAGGGCGACTCGAGCGGCGCCGTCACCCCCGCCTTCGGGCCTCTCCCTCCGTCCTTCCCGTCTCGGCCGCTGCCGGAGCTCCGGTGGAGGGCAAGGACGGCGGCGGCCGGGTGTCTCCCTCCCTCTCCCTCTCTCGGTGAAGACTTGTGCCGTCGTCGTGCTTCTCATGGTGGTGGCTGGCGGCCCGGATCTAGACTCTCGGTGGGTGGATCTGGTTCCTCGCCAGCTAGATCCCGCTCTAGCGGCGTGGGGGTGGTGCGGCGCACTTCGGGCTGGTCCGTAGGGTTCCGGCGTGATTCTTCACGGGGAACCTCGGCCGGTGGCATCTCTGGCACCGGGGCGGGAGGACCCCTCCCTCCCCCGCCTAGATCTGCTCTCCCTGGCCTGGATTTGTCGTCTCGTCTCTCCCGGGGGGGGCTCCTCGGCGTGCTTTCCGGGGGACTTGACCGGCGGCACACCCGGTCCGAGGGCAGGCGGAATCGGCACCCTCCGCCCGGATCTGCGGAGGAGGTGCTCTCCGGCCTTCACTGGCGTCCGGGGCGGCGGCATGGTCCACGGCACCCTTCGGGTCTGGTGGAGCCGGGAACGGATGTAGTGGTGGCCGTCGGCCTTTGCCTCCTTGTTCGGGGCTGGCGTTCCTCTGCTGGATCTGGCGTGCTGATGGTAGAAGTTCGTAATGAGGGTTGTTGGAGGCTCTGCGCGGCGGGTTTTGACGCTAGGACTGCTTGCCAGGGGTTGGGATGGTGATGGGTTGGGCGACTGGGGCTTCTTCTAATCCCGGCCCTCTTCTCCCCACCACCTGTCTTTTCCCTTGCCCGGGCTAGTTCCTCAGGTCAGGCTACCTCTGTGGAACTCCGGCGGCGATGGATGTGGAAGAAGAATGAGGTCGGGCGAAAGCTTGGACAGCGACGTTTGTGGACGTCGTGCCCTTGTTGGAGGCATCCTTTACTACCTCTCTTCCTACGACGTTGGATTTAGCAGGTGAAAACCTTACCTCGTTGGGCTAGCTTATAGACGCTCTTGGCGTTGTTTCCTTCTCGAAGGCTCTGCTAGGCGATCTAGATTCCACTGTGGACCTCTTGCCGTCTGTCATGGCGCTTCTCCTACCGTGATGGTGCTCGGTGATGGTGCTCAGTGCTCCGTACGGTTCTCCAAGTTTTCTTTCTCAAGTTGAGGTGTCTTAGTTGGTTTTTTTTTTCTTTGGCCAAGTTGTTGTTAGTTGGGTAGGTGTAGTTGAGTAGATTAGACCTAAGCTACAAGTGGTGGCGTGAGTTATGACAGTTGTTCAAAAGTTGTATAGGATGAGTGGGGCACTCTTCTCAGTTGTAGGGATTTTTGGCCTAGTTCCCATTCAAAAAAAACTAGGCTGATACTTACATTTTTTCTTTATTTGTCTAGTAGAAATCGTGGCAAAGCTTTTTGTTGTCCTTTGTTAAAAAATTAAATGGCTGGAATCCCAGCAGGAAACGGGACACAAGCGAACCTTTGAGCTACAGCTCGAGGTCGACAGACCTGGATCGGCAGGCGGACAGAAGGCTCCGTGCTCCGGTGCTGACCTGCACGTTGCCGTCGCGGTCGGTGCTGACAGAGGACACCCACGAGATTTTCGATGGAGGAGAGGAGCCTATGGCCCTGCCCTTGGCGTCCTTGCGGCCGCCCCATCCGTTGGCTCCAGCCCCACCGCCGCCACGTCCGTTGGGTCCGGTCCCGCCGCCACGCTCAACATCTTGTGCGTTTGGGGGAAAGAACGACGGTGGAGAGGAGGAAACGGATTTTGGCACGCACCTTGGATCTCCCCGCTCGTCG